TTCTGACAAAATTCCCCCTTCAATCAACCCAACTAACTTGTTCAGAACGAATTTTCACTGTTTCATGAAAATCGGGCCACTAATAAAAAGTTTCCATTTCTCATGATCCGTGAAGGGAATGAGGGCAGCGGGGATATATGTGAGCTTAGTTAGTCGAGGTCGAGTTTGCATTAACTCGTATTACTGCGTTATCTCTTCCAGTGTAAGCTCAAACCAGAGCCCTTACTGAAGTTTGATGGCTGAGAAGCAGAACTGCCTCCCATGTTGGCCGGCTCATGATGATAAGCAACTATGTGCCGAAATCCGCGTCTGTCGGGAAGAGAGTAGCCTTGGTAAATAATGACAGCGTTTTCATTGAAAATCAAGAGGAATTGGGCGTCTTCTGTCGAATTGGAGAAGGCGTCCGAACGAAGTCCGGTGCTGAAAGGCGGCCTTCCGTAAGCAAAACCACCGTGTGGTGAATAAGTCAGCCAGAGCAATGACATCTTCAGCAGATTGATTGAAGAGCGTTCAAGATTATTTGAGCCGCTCTTAAGCATCGCACGTCCTGATTTCTAGGTGGAAAAGGGCTCAAGTTAATGTACGAAGGTGTGGCTGCCAGGACCCTTCGTGTTTTTACACCAGCCTCCCTCGTTTCATTGCTACGGGATGATGCTGGAATCGGCGTGAAAAAGTTTATTCTTAAGTGGATCTGATGGAAAATGAGGGTACAGGAGGGTTCGTGAAAATCACAGTGGTTTCGACAGTAAGGTAATTTTGGCGAGAATTCCTTTTGTGGTTTGAGGCACCTTTGACGACTGAGCGGCTAGAGCTCGTAGTTGTTTCCTTCACGAGCATTCCAGAGGGTATCGTTAAGTCCTCTGAAGCGACTCTTTTTACCATCTTTTCGACAAAAGCCTCTCGAACCTTGATTTTACGCACGATAAACGCAGCTGTCCATGCCGGTCCTTTTGCACGCCAGATGGAAGCGCAGGAGAAAATGTGGGAGTTATCTATTTGGCCACCATGTTATGAATCGCAATTCCAATGGAGAATCACAGGGCCTTAACTGTGTATAAAGTTCCACAGGCAAAGAAAAGCAAAATGGAACAGCCGAAGAGCTGAAAACGTCGTCATCAGCGCGCACGCAAAATTTCGGATCCCATTGTAATAGCTTATTTGGTTACCGCATTCATCCAAACGTACATTATTGATGTTTTCTTAGACTATGGAGGACCACCACATTATTGAAATTTTATTTACGGGTTTTTTTGTTTAATAAAAGCTTTCGAAAGTAATGGATAGATCAGTATGCGAAACGGTTGAAATTACGTTCTAAAAAGATATTTCACTAATTCTGAAATGCGAGATTTCTCCACAAAATCGCGTATTAAGGTTTTTCGTATATTGGGGGAAACTTTTTGGTAATAGCGGCCATTTTCAAAAAATGCACAGCAACTTCGGGGTAGCAAAAATTGAGGGTGGACCTATAATTATGAAACGCAGTGTATACTTGAAGACTATGTATCCCATCGCGTGGTAGCGTCCAATAAACAGCAGTAAAATCCAATAAAACATGTAAGAAAAAAATTCTCGGTGAGATGGTTGTTTTTTTCGCACCACCACCGAAAAAATTGCCGTTATATCCGTGTTTAAGACCGTCACTTACCCTTGCTCGTGAGCTTAGAGCGAAATTGGAGGCAAGAGAAATTGTGGCGGCAACGTAGTGCCAATGGCGCGGCTCCAGAAAACGGACGTCATTCAGGACCTTCCGTTCCTTTTGTATGTGCGTTCCGAGCAAAATTAGAGGCAATAGAAACCGTGTGGCCAACGTTGGGTCTAAATGGCGCAGATCCACAAAACGGATGCAAATTCCATGCTCAGGACCCAGTTACCTCTGTCTGTAAATTTATAGCGAAAGTGCTGCCAAAAGGGCGCTCACTTGTCGCCAAATGTCGCTGGCGCGGGACCATCGCTTATGGATACCACGGAGCCTGCAAGATGTGATACTAGAAACTCTAAACTTGCGCTATGGAGGTCTTTTTAGGCTGCATCCCCACACGAGCTGCATCGTCCCACGTGGCAAAAAATGTGCGTCCCTTCATCGAACCGCAATGTCGCCATTGGGTTAGCACTCTGTATCTCCCCGTTGTTCTTGTTTCATCTATGCCGTTAGAATTCGTGCATACATGGAAGGCAGAAGAAGGAAGAGAGAACTCGGAAGAATCCATGTATAGTCGCAGTGGCTGCCCGACTAAATAATGGTGGAGCCAGCTATACTATCACAACACTCTAGTAGCGAAAATTGTTGGAGTTTTGCTCTCTAAGGAGAGGGTCATCGAAAAACGTTTTGATTGCGTCAGCTGTGCGGTGTGACGAAAGAAATAAGAAATTGGAGCTATTTTTACAGTGCACCTAGCGGTAGACAATAACCAAAGCAAGCGAATTCCGGATACAGAATGACTAATGCGAAAGGTATATTATATTGAAACTACATTCCCTGCGCACAAATTCGCGTATATCGCGCAGGGCTGTAGCGATATGGGAGAGTGCCATCGATATCACAATGCTCCTTGGCAAAGTTCGCCCATCTCGAGCACGCTCCACCCACCAATAGCATTTGACCTGCCTTCGGTTAACGGATTCTATCCGTTTTAAATTTGGTGACAGACCCCGCCCTATTGGTACACGGCACGCCCACTACCAACATTTGATCTTCCCTCCTTCTTATTCTCTAACCTCTATCCACTTTTTTCCTGTGTCCAGGACTTCTCTGAATCGAACAATGAGCATTGGAAACGCCCGCCCACCGTGGGCGCGCCTCCCTAATTCGGCTGAGCAGTTCAGTGCACATTTACCCACTATTCCGGTCCGGGGCTGTTCTGTAGTCGAACTCGAAAATTTTGCCATCGGCACCGCCTAATTTGGCGCGTGCCCCACCCACTGTGGTCGGAGCTCCACATGGCTGGTATGTGTTTTGTAACTCTTCTTGTGACCCACCTATCCCAAACTTATCTCGAAGTTAGCGCATTAAATATAGTAGAGACGTTATTTGGCGTCACCTGTAGTCGGCCCCAATGCCCCACCACTATTTGCTACAATTAGTAGGTTGCCTCATAATTCCTTTCCGATTTTTGTTCGAATTCGAATTTCAAATTTCAAATTTTGTTCAATTTGGTGATATGCCGAAGAGTGAAAACGATCCTCGAATAGGTGCTCTTGCAAGGAAGACAGTAGTGAAGATCAGCGCTGTGTTCGGCTCTGTTTCTACCACTGATCGTGCCCAAGCAAGTGATTCGTTCGCTATGACAAAGACGATACGAGCTCTGAAGATCACCTCACCCTGGGCCTCCACTCATTATCAATGAGGCCTTCTTGTGCCATGAACTGGGATTGCATGCCAAGGCTACTAACAGTGATTCGTCGTAGCTACTTGGTAACCAATGCACCATCGCTCGCTATCTGGATGGAAACGGCTGCAGCAGGACAAAGGGTCGATGGAAACCACATGCATCGACTAACAAGCCGGTTTCAACAGTTCGATGAGTGACCGCTACCGTAATCCACGTTGGCGCTGGAGCGCGCAGCTACACAGCTACTGTGTACCCACACGTTTCAGCATCAACGTGGCAGGGTATAATGCCTCGCACGAGGATTGTACAATATCCTCATCACAGCCGCCCTTGGGCGACTATCCAAAACACATGCAGCGCTCGCCTTGCCGCCTCCTCGGAGAGGCAAGTGGCTGGCGCGCAGAGTAATGGCAAGGGAGGGTAACTACGGGGTGCCGCCAAACCCTTTGCCGGCAAACTTGTCTACCTGCCACACTCCACCTATATACCATCACAGACCGTGCAAGAGTCAGGTTCTACAACGTCCATTTTGTCGCCGTGGAGTGCGCGAGAAACGACAAAGGGCACGTCGAATTCAAATCGATGACCCGCGGCATCGCCACTCACGGATTACGGTTGTGGTCACTCATCGGACTTCGTAATCTCTCTAATCATCGACTAACCATGATCGATAATTACGTCTGATCATCCGCGGAAGTCTTCTCTTTCTGCCGCTCAGACGCGAATTTCCCTACTCTTATCATCAGAGGAGATGAGTCATGAGTCCACTGCGACAACAGCACACGGTACAACATTTGATGGCTACCTCGCAGCCAAGATTCACCTCCATGTTCGAAGCATATTGTTCTTGATTTGTCAGATTAGGTGGTATCTCGTTTTCATAGCCGCTCTGCTATATCAGACCTGAACTGTAAATGCCATCGTGGAACAGCAGGGTGTGCTAGAGAACCATCACAAGTGTCCATAATCCCTTTCTCCAAATGACCGCCCGACTTCACACTGAAAACATAATCCGCTACCTTTGAGTGGGAACTGGCTGGTCCACGATACCATATCCATCATGTACTTGCCATTGGTCCACCGGGATAACACCGGAATAACGTTCCACAGCAAAGTAAAGCAAAATGGAACAGCCAAAAAGCTGAAAAGGTGATCATCGGCGCCCAGACGAATTTCGATCCTACTGTGATAGCTAATTTGGCTACCAGCATTTCAAAACGTATTATTGTGTTCCTTATAATTATTGGGGGGTCATCCCATTATTGAAAATTCGTGACGTTTTTTCGTCATAGTAAAATCTCTCGATAAGTGATGTGTAGTCATATTTGCGAAACGATGAAAATACGTTCTAAGGAAGATATTTTAATAATTCAGAATCGAGATTTCTCCAGAAATTAAGTATCAAGGTTTTTCGTTATGGGGAAACTATTGGTAATAGCGGCATTTTCCAAAAATGCACAGCAACTTTGGAAAAGCAAAAAATTAGGTTGGACCTATATTTATGAAACGCAGTGTATTTCAGCTCAGTGCATATATTTCATAAACTATTATGTCATGATTGTAGATGTTTATATAGATGAAAGAAAAAAATTATAATTTTTATAAAAATAAAAAAAAGAAGAGCAATATTTCTTGAATACAATAATTGAATGAATTTGCATATTCCAGCAGCGTTACAAAAAAGGGGAGATCGTCACCAATCCAGGCGGTATTCGAAAGAAGTTCAACGGTAAACAATGGCGTCGGCTTTGCTCTAAGGAGGGCTGTAATAAGGTAATAGATTGATGATGATTCAGCAGACGAATAACTGTGTTAATTTTTCTATGTCTATAATAAGTTAGCCATTCTGCTCTGTATAACTCACTTCTGGATTCTAGGGTCAAAATTGACTTAGCCACAGCGCAAAAACGCCCTCCGTATATATTGTCAACATGGACGCGTTCAAAATTAGGTTGTTGCATTATGAATGTCGGGCTGAATGTCCATAAAATTTGTTGGTAGAGCAATAATTCGGCACCTCAGAACGAAAGATGGATTTCACTGCGTAGGCAAACCTAGACTCCAGGGTCGAACTTTTCTGTAGTCTCAGGATCGTTCCTCCTTCAAACGTGCCGCTAGAACCCGGGTAAGCTCCATTCAGATGGATTGCAACAGGATCTGTTAGGCAGAGAGATCAAAGGCCTTCAGTCGGTCCCGCACTTTTTGCTGGTGATTTTTTGTGAAATGCAGCCTTTTCGTCAAGAAGTGAGCTCATGAACTTATTATTTTTCTTTCTTGCCAGCCACGGTTGGTGTGGGTTGCTTTTTGTTTGTGAAAACCTGCCGTGACCGTGTGAGCTAAATTCAGCTCCTTGAATGTCGTATAGGAAAAATTCAAGTAACAAAGCAAAATGATATGGCAAGAATTAGGTCACTTCTGTACTATTAGATGTCCTCTTACGATTGAATGCACAACTATCACTAGAGATTCAGACCTGTTTGATACATTTACTGAACAACCTATATTTGTGATTTTTCTTCCGTTCTTGTAAATATGGATTCACTCGGGTACTGGGGTAACTTTATAATTACACACTTAGTTGAAACCAGTATTGACCATTATTGTCTGAGTCTTTGAAGGTAAGGAGTTATCCACTTGAAGTTACACGTGAAAGAACAGCAAGTAATATACCTGTGGGGGGAGGGGCACAAAAGAGTCACTTTAATTCACATTCAAAGCAGAATTAATTAAACTTCGCCAGTACCAAGCCCACTGAGCTCAATTGCGTATTGAAGAGCACATTCTATTCTATCAAAAAAATTACGTAAGGGTTCTCTACATCAACGACATCAGGAGATTTTCACACGGAAACATAGTGATGGCGTGCGGCACATGATGGCGTCCGTGTGGTTTAAGACGCTAGTCGTTACAGACTTGCAACCATCGCAACGCTCCCACCAGCGATTGAGGTGAAGATCAGTGTGCTCTCTCGTTGATTGTGCTCTCTTATGTGCGTTTCCTCGGTAGCAGTGTCCCTCCTTCTTACCAAATTCGACCTTCGTGAAAGTTTAAACCTTAGTCCAAGCGTTTCTGATGGTTTTTCTTTTCTTCTCCACCGTCAACTCACTACGCAGCTCATCCATCCCTACAAACGCTTTATACACCAGTTTTAGCTCGGGACTTGCCTTTGAGGTGGTAAGTTGAGATCACCGTTATTATGCGTAATTGGCTTACGAACTTGACTCGTGTGGACTGGTTTCTGATCCTTGAAGTCTTTGAATGGTGCCACACAGAACGGTCTTTTTGTTGTAAATTTTGAAACTCCTGGAGTCTCCTGGAAGCGGTGTGCTGAAATGCCTTTTCGCTGCAACTCAATGAAAATTTTGAGATAGAAAGATCACTTCACCTTAGAGGGAAGTCACTTCATTCAGGTGTTCTCTAACAGCACTGAGTAGTAAAGCAGCATTATACAAAAAGCAGCATAAGCGAATGAGCATTTGACAAAGAAGACTCGCAACAACTCGCTTTTTTCTACTTTTTATCATGCCGCTACAGAAAGGGGCACAGTCTAACATCAGACAATGCGCTATCTTGGTACAGAATTCCTCGTGCGTGTGGCTCACCAGGAATGTCGTTCAGGACTTGCCTCGCTTTCTCAGTATAGTTTCTTTCGTTGTTACGAAAGTGCTTGAATCGAGCATGGAAATGAGACAATTTTTTCAAGCAGTCCTGGGCTTGCCAGAAAAGTAGTGGAAACAATGGCTTTCGTTCAATCTCCTCTGCTTTTGCATTTGCATTTTTGAAACTACAAAAAATTCACAGTTTGAGAGGGATTTTCCACACTTCTCCTGAGGGCCGTCTAGAGAAAGTTACCTCACTCCTTGCATCTATGCCTGTGTTCATAGATCATGCAAGCAATCATTTTCGGAAAGCTCTACATGTCCTAACGATTTTTCTGTTATTTTATCTCACATCGGCATTTTTTCATGCAGATAACAGCAAATACTCACTACGTTGTGGATGGTAAGATTATACATGTCGAAATTTCACTAGTGTTATTTAGGAATCTCAACGGCGAGGTTACTGTTCGCGACACTTATCGCTGAAGACTAAGCCTGGGCACGTGGAGCACACATCACCGAGCAACAGCACCGGTAAGCATCCCACCAAAACTACGTTAGGTCTTATTGGAGGAAAACATCGGAGAGGAGAAAAGCTTACTGGACGCGAGCGCTTTCTGGTGGGGTCACAATGACGTCACAGCCGCGGGAATGGAGTTGACAAAGGGGCGTCCCCCAAGAGGCCCATCTCGCAGCGAAGGAAGAGACGCAGACGCGGCAAAGGACGAGTCTCAGCGCTTGCTGTGCGACATGAGACGTAATATGGTGCACTCTGTTTACCCTGACGCCTATCCGCCACAGTATGCGCTGCGACTCGTCCTTTGCCGCGTCTGTGTCTCTACTCGTCCTTTGCCGCGTCTGTGTCTCTTCCTTCGCCGCGCGATGGGCCTCTTGAGGGACACTCTGCCAAATGACAAGAATGAGCAATGACCACCGTCGCTGCCAGCAGTGACATTGTTGGCACCTTACCAACCTATGTGTCCCAGCATGAAGGCATTGATATTCCCCAGTAGCATCCTTACGCGAGGGAATTGAAGTTTTGAAATGTAGGGAATATCAAGACCTTCATGCGTGTGAACCCTGAAAAAGGCATGCTAAAATATAGTTGATTGCAACAGTTTCCTTCTTTGATTTGGAATCTATGTAAGTTCTCTTTACTTCACAGCTAGGTTCGCGTTCGCGTTATTTTCCTCTTGATCATAGCCAAGCTTCGCCTATTTCGTGAACTTCTTTCTATGTACCAATTTCTACTATTGCTTTTAGTTGATGGTTGAGAACTGAAAATATTATGCCACAAATGAAGTTTTTAGAGGCATTAACGGTTACATTCACACAGGGCTCCAAGAGTAGGGGGAGGGCTGGTCAAGACCGCTACAAGGGGGGAGAGGTCGTACAACTCTTGGAAACGTACCAACGCTAGGGTTGGCACTAAGCAGGACTTCGGTTATTCATGAAGGTAGCAGTTTCCTCCGTTATCAACACTGCAATGCTTGGGACCAGGGTCAACCCTACGTTGTTACAAGTAACAAGGGGGGGTCGTACCTGGTTGAGTTTGTAGGAGGGGGCGGGTCGTACCCACTTTAGTCGCTTGAAATCACGAGTGGGCTTGAGGTGAAACTAAGATTTCGTGGGTAGTAGGCTGTGCGTGCTGTGCTGGTGGAGGGCGCCGCAAGGTAAAAATTTGCCGTTTCAGCAGGCGTGTATACCTCCCCCCCCCTTAAAAAATGAAGTAGTGGGAGTATAGGTAAGAAATGGGTAGAAAATGGTGGAAATAGAAGGAAATTTTTGGAGATATTATATTGACCGTTTCAGTATATCCCCCCCCCCCCGCTCGACGGCATTTTTGGAGGAAAAATTATTTTCGATTATTTTCGAAAAGTAACAACGATAGGACTGACCCTGCTTGGGACTCGCTTTGATGTAGGCCGCATAAACTCCTCCTGTGTTCGCTGCTATCTACACGCTTCTCATTAAAAATATATGGTGTGACTGAAGGCATACGCAGGTTTTTAGCCAGTTCATACCTTTCTTGAATCTCTGGGGAGGAGCTTCTATTCATCATTCCATTTCTTCTCACATGTTTCATTGCTCTTCTCTTGTCAGATGCACCAATCAATGTGCAGAAATTTTGATTTGAAAACCTTATTGCTCTGAAGCATTTTTATTAAAGTGAAATGTTGTGACTTCCGCTAGTGACAGTGGATCGCAGACCGTTCCTCGAAATTGCCGGCAATGAATTTCTGTAATGTTTTGACACCGTGTCAATTTTGACACGGCTGCTATTAATGAGCTCTGGTCTCTTCGATTACTTAGCTATGCCATATTTGCCTTCGTGTACAGCACGTTGCACAGTTTCCCCCTTAGATTCATTATGCTCAAAAGCTTACCTCATCACGTCACACGTTCGCATTCCTTCCAAAAATTTGTCACCGTCAGAATTTTATGGCATTGCACGTATTGATGCACCGATCAGCATCCCATTCATGTAGTATCTTTGAAATCCTGCAATATTTCATAGATAGATGCAATATTTCATACTTTATTTCATAAAAGCTCGATAATGTCATATGGACATGACACAAAGTCAGTGTTCTACAGCTACGCAGCTTCAGGAGGAACAAGCATGGATTGGTTTTCACACGAGGGAGAGGATCGACGCGAAGATAACGCTGAAGTAGCATCTGCCATTCTTCGGGCATCGATAGGTATTGCTTTATGTTTTCAATTGTAATGCTCAATTTCGGCACTTCTCAACACGGAATGTGCGAGCTATGACATTAGCACTGAAGATGCAGAAAGGGAAAATGAATTCAATATCCTCCTGCGTTGAATCGAAATGAGATATTCGTGGCCGGGATCAAGTCGAAGCGACATGGTCCACCACCCAGCCCTAACTTGAAGGTGCATCCTGCGATTGCTTCAATGATGCAGTCTGCTCCCTATGTCAGATAGACTGTCTTCTAACACAGAGGTTGCGCCGTTTACACGGTTGTTACAAGGGAGTGCCTCGAGATTCCCATGACTCCTGCTTTGCTTGCAGCTTGGACCTTGTAGAATTTCTCCTTGTCAAACTGCGGTTTCTTTGTACGTTATCCCTTGCCTACAACGGAAGTCTTGTCATGAAGGGAGGAGAGTTCTGAGCCACTGCACCGAAACCTAATCTTAGGACAGCCGTTTTCCGTTTACTGTGGGCGAAAAATCAGGGCGGAAGATTTTATCTACTCGAAAAGATGAAAATCCTTAGATCGCCGTTGACTTCGACAAGGCAAGCTTTGTTGTCGCAACAAAAAATGAAGCTTTATTCGGATCTAATATTTGTAGGGACTCAACATGATGGATCACAGCACACAGGCTAAGGTTGGGATAGGTTCTCGGTTCTCCCACTGGCTGGGCTCTTTTTAATAGCCAGTTCGGTTCCAAGGTCCTCGAGATGCTTTTCGACGTGCCCTGTGGGGAAAAACGTTACTTCATCCGTAAATCATCACCCAAACATGCTACTAATTTATCGTACCGAGCTCTTCTGCAAGTCCTATGGCGGGTCGCCAATGTACCCATGTTCGCTCACTTTTTTGAGGTCATGGCAAAATCTCAATTTTCGTTGAAACTTTGCGTATAAGTGTAAATGGGCTCCTACATATTTACAATTTTGAGATTTGTTTCGAGCACATAAGCCATCTGGTGCCAGTGTGATCGCACAACTTTTCATTAGACCCTACAAACAGGGGTTTGATGGTTCAGATTTCAAGGATGATACTTTTTTGTTCTCTTTTTATAATAAGACTTGAGCAATTATTTTATCAAAGACGGTGTCCAAGGCAGATGAATGTTGATATGTTGCTAGGCTAGGTGTAAGAGGATTTGTGCCACACCACATGTGGACTGTGGGCTCGTCTTTATGCTATTCGAACGAGTGCTCTAGGAGTCAGCGTTGCCCAAATATTTGGTCCAGCATCCGCACTTTAACTCATATCCTACGAGCCTAGAGCGTGAGATTGGCGTTTCTTTCCCTCACCCTCCAGCGCGTCCACCGACAATATCGACAGTTTTATCGCTGCGAGAAAGGGTAGTTCACTAATTAACCCTCTTGTGGAATCTTCAAATTGTGAAGAGTCCAGTTTTCAAAAGGCGACGGTATTCGGGATGCAATAGAGAAGTTCTTCATGGCTCACTTCAATGGGTTTCAGGCGAAAAGAATTTTTGAATTACCTACATTTGCACAAGCAAAATACGATAGGTGTTGAGGGGGCCTAGTTCAAGTATTTGCTGCAGATTTCAAACTTTCGTTTTTTTTTCAGGCTTGCCCTAGGCGAAGATGTACCTCTAGCACACCGTTTGCCTCTAGCATACTATGTTTTCTTTCGCTAGCAAGCCGCAACTCACTATGTGGAAGATTTAGAACGTACCCTAAGAGACAAAACTCGCATTAAAATTGTGCACATGGGTAGTGGAGCGGGTAGATGAGGGTCCAAGTGGACGTCATATGGCGCTTTCGCGAGGAAGCGCATTATCAAGAACAGAAGCGGAAAATTGTACATCGGATTCCAAAATACCATACCCCGGAAGTGTTGCGAGGTTTTCTTTTCTTTCATATTGAGCTTACTCACCTCCGAATCCTACTAACTTCAGCTTTTGCTTTTGCGTACGGATGATTCTTCTGTGCTGTACGACTGCATGTCCCTGTAGCGATGACGAAAAACCACAAATAGGTAGTGTGAAAAACTGCAATTATTTAGTATAATTGCAAAAGAGAAACTGCTACTACAGCCGGGAAGCAGCAATAGCCATGGATACGCGTCCGAATTTGAAATCAACGGGGAGAAGAATGTGTAATTTTTTGGGTTTCTGACCATTTTTCTTTCTTTTTGGCATTATTTACCCTTTACTGCCCCCTCCAGAACTGATCCGGATCGTTATCAAAATTTGTCCACGACCATTTATTTGGCGAGAAAGTTGTATCTAGGGGTAGTTCTACCCTTAGAACACGAATATCGCATTCGTTTAACACAGAAACGCTTGGCACCACATGTGCCGGAGCCAAAAGCCTTCAAAATACTTTGAGTCACCAATCGCTGGAAACTTGACTTCAGAAAAGGTTAGACCCATAGACATGAATATCACTTTAGTTTAACGAGTGACCCTGTAGTCTGCACTACTGATGCCGGCGCCTGTGGCGTGGACGCTAGCGTTTTCGCGCTGAACCGACACAGTGTTGGTGTTCTCTACGTTGAATACCCCCAGAGACAGCTTTCTAGTCAAATGCTTACAAATAGTTATGCACAAATTTCGATTAACCCATAACGGACGACCATTGCGTGCGCCACATGGTGGCCCACGCCGCCACACAGGGTAGGTTTTATGTAGGCTTATGCGAACAACAGGGTTAAGACGGGACTAATGTTGGTGTCCGTGTCTCATCATCCAAAAGAAGAGATTCCCATTGACGACAACTTCGTAACTCGCCTTTCCGCTTCAAAACTGGGCTGCAAAGAATAAATGGAAGCTGCAGGTGAAATCATGGAAAAACGCGGAACAACAACCCTGAGCAAGGATGTGGCTATATTTAGGGGAAGGGGTCTCGGGACGAGTGAACCATGTGTAAGCCACCCATCAAATAGTAAGCTTATGAAAAGTAAGACAAAGTGTATGTAAAAATTATTGTAGGTAACCCACTCGTCCAGGTCCTAGGAAGATATGTTATTCCACATTGGTTAGAAACGTAACAAAAACAAAAGAAATAATCGTGCGCCACCATGTGGCGCACGCCGTCCGTTATGGGTTAAAATCCGGCTTGATTTTTGAGGCTTCTTGCATAAAGGGTGAATAATGCCTTTTTTTCGCGGCACCCCACTTGGCACCTTTACTTTTACCCTTCTATCGAATCTATATCGCGAGATTTGTCTTCAAGATGATTTTCTGCTCACAACATTCTTTGAAGCCCTTTATATAAATCCCTTAAATAGCCATAATGTGTTTTTCGGAGAAAATTAGGATTTTTCGTTAGGTAACACGGACGTCGATCCATCTTATCGAGAAGGTTTATGGGAAGCTGAGATTCGAACCTTACGTTATTTTCATGAATACTGATAGTGAATACATAGACGTTCCGGACGTTTAATTTCTTCTACGTTAGACAATTCTTCGTCCTTCAGTGTGTCATGTCGTGGCCGTTGCCGAAGTTATCTGAAGCTTCTGCCAACTGAAACGCTGCTTGAGTAAACCTTTTTCACGATTTTGAAGCCGTTCCGTTGTTGATGCAAGGATATTATTTGTAGAATTCCAGCGTCTTCAATTCAGAATTTCGGTTTTGTTCTAAAAGCACTTGTTACCATATTTATGGCGCCCCTTGTATTTATTATATATTTAATTAGCACGTATAATACATATAAATTGCCAGAGTGCAGTATGATTATCCCACTGCAATGGCGAATGAATTCCTAACTTCTCTATCTATCAGGTTCGCTTCCTCATGACACGCCATTTTCGGGTTCCAGCCCCACTCGCTATTCTAGCGACAGCACATCGCAGCCTCTATTTGGAACGAAATTCGGAACAACGTCGTCAACAGTGCCAAGCAGTCGGACGACAGCTGTAGCAGACCAGATACCTGAGGTGAACGCCCAATTAGGCTTTTACATTGAAAACTTATGCATTGATATGGCTCAAGAGTGTTTTTTGTGAAGTTTCCTTCAAAAACGTCTCCTCATTACTAGAAACTCAACTATGCTAAGGTTTACCTGAATGATAGGCAGCAAATGGCGTCGGTTTCAGTTTCTTCTTGTAAGGCGGGCCAATCAAGCCATTTAATGCAGTTGTTTTGTAAACTCCTTCTTCCGTGGGGAATAAAGCTATCGATGTTAGGCGGTCAGCAATCAAGAGGAAACTAGGAGAAACAACTAGAAATCGGAAATGAGGCCTCTTTTTCCTTATGATTTCCATGCAGAATGAAATTAACGATAGCTGACATCTTACACATAAAAGCACTCCACGGATTCTATACGAAACCTAGATCACTAATCGAAAGGAACAGCATCTGGGGCATCTGAACCGTAACCGCGAAATGCGAAATGCCGTCTCCGTCTCGTGTTCTTATGAACCTAGTTTCCCTTTATAGTAGGTACACTTCCCCTTGCGAGCCCTTTGTTTGTCGTACCTATTACCTTCAGATTAAATTCACGATAAACTTCCTTGCGAGTGCATAAGAGAACTGAGCGGCGTAACCAAACCAATCTCAGTCAAAATATGGTGTGCTCCTACGCTTTTGTTCGACACATCGCGGAGGTTGTGCGAGTATATCCGCATTCTACTGCTCCTACTTTTTCTTTGGGGCTTTCAACACATCTCGAACAAGCGTATCCGCACGAGTTTCTTCCACTGACACAAATTAGGGTAGAAATGAGTGCGATGGAATCATGATATGAACTACTGTTTGGTCTCACATTTACGAAAAATGCGCTGTGCAGCGGTAGTTTGGAAAACATTGCTAGCGGTGGCGAAAGCTTGGAAGGTGATAAGGACCGTCGCTGGATATGGAGCGTTGGTAAAAAGCTGACACTGTGATAGAACCAAATGTACTTACAAGGAGAGGCCTTCGGGTCGCCATGGCCATTCGATATGAGTGTATACCCTCTTAGGCATCTTGGTTCCCTGATCTCGGATCGGTTTCCAAATACTGCT